GAATAGGCGGCTTCTCTATCTTTGAATCCTTGCCTAGTTTCCCTTTTAGGCTGGCGCCATGATCACTGCCTCAGGTTTCAGGTGGCTCCTTTCTCTTGCAGCATCCTATGGAGCCATTGTATGCAAGGACTAGAGTTGTGTCTCTCTACACTGTGTACATCAATAGAAACACACAGCCCCTCATTCTATGCTGGCAAGGTGCTCCCTTGCTCCACCCTACTTCTCCACCTCCCTTCTCCAAGCTAACAGACTGACTGGAGACTGCACTGTCCACTGTTAACTCTTTCCTGTGAAGATATGAAATTTAGAGAAGCAGCACTAAGGCTCACACTTATGCAATTTGCGTTGAAGCCATTTCTGCAGTGCGTTTTTGCACATGCTTTTTGATGCCTTTTTGCTTTGTTTTGCATGGTTTTTTTTTTTTCACTTGTTGCTGGGCAGATTAAAATGCATCAAAAATGCGTAAAAAGCGCATCAAAAACACATCAAAAACACACTACATGCTTTTCTGCAGCATCTCCACTGAAGTCTATAAAACCAAAAATGCAACTTTTTGCATTCAAAAAAATTCCCTGACCCTTTCCAGAAAACGCACCGGGTGAAAATGCCCCCTTTTTTTTATAAAGTGGAATTTTTTTTTGCTGGACAGAATAAAAATGCACAACACATAAAAATGCAGCAGTAACACGTATTTCAGCAGCTTCTCTATTGAACTCTATTGTAGCCAAAATGCAGCTTTTTGCTTTTAAAAAGTCCCTGACCCTTTCCAAAAATGCAGCAGCTCAAAAAAGCATAGATGTAAACCTGTCCCATAGGAAATCATGTTAAATGGACTGCTGTGCGTTTCCGTAAAATACAGTGGAAAACACAAAGCTGTGAACCTAGACTAAGGCTCTGTCAGGGGCGGACTGGCAATTCATGGGGCCCCCGGGCAATAGGGGATCATGGGGCCCCTGTGTCCTTGCCCAAACTCAAAAAAGCTTATGAAAAAGGTACCAGGGGCATCTCATGGGGCCCCCTACTGACCCGGGGCCCTCGGGCAGTGCCCGAGTTTCCAAATGGTCAGTCCGCCTCTGGGCTCTGTTCACACCAATGAGCTTTTTAGTGTCTTTTGCTTTTTGCAGAAACACACTACAGTCCATTTAACATGGTTTCCTATGGAACATGCTCACATCTATGCTTTTTTGAGCTGCTGCATTTTTGGAAAGGGTCAGGGACTTTTTAAAAGCAAAAAGCTGCATTTTGGCTACAATAGAGTGCAATGGAGAAGCTGCTGAAATACGTGTTACTGCTGCATTTTTATGTGTTGTGCATTTTTATTCTGTCCAGCAAAAACAAATTCCACTTTATAAAAAAAAAAGGGGCTGAACAAAACACTGTAAAAATGCATCGAAAACACATGTAAAAAAAGGCAAAAAGAACTGCAAAAACCACTGCAAAATGGACAAAAAAGCAAACTGCATGGGTAGTTAACAGAGCCTCAGGGACTTTTTTAAAAGCAAAAAGCAGCATTTTTGCTACAATACCGTTCAATGGAGAAGCTGCTGAAATGCATTCACAATGCACTTCACAATTGAGCAATAGGAAACCAGCAAGAAAGCCGCAAGGTTTCACTGCCAGTTTCCTTTACTGAAGCTGCTGGCACCTGCACCTGAATCTGATTGAAGAATCGGCTCGGGCAGGGGCAGACTGACCATTTAAAAAATGAGGGCATTGCCCGAGGGCCCGGGGTCAGTAGGGGGCCCCATGAGATGCCCCTGGTACCTTTTTCATAGGCTTTTTTGAGTTTGGGCAAGGACACAGGGGCCCCATGATCCCCTATTGCCCGGGGGGGTCCCATGAGTTGTCAGTTCGCCCCTGAGCTCCGGTGAGGACATTGCTGGACCCCTGGACAGGTAAGTGTCCTTATATAAAAAGAAGGGAGAGTCTTTTCTCCTGAAACGTGTTGGCTTGATGTACTTTACGTTACTCTCAATAAATGCCTCTTAATCTACCATCAAAAGTACATTATTTTGGACATTGGACGCTCCTTCTTTTCTAATATTCCAATTATATTAAGGACCAAATCACACTACATGCGTTTCAGTTGCTTTTTTTCTGCATCCAAAACGCACAGAAAGTAGGTTATATGGTTGTCGATGTCATAGTTCACATCAGTGCTTGCAGTTCCAGTGCGTTCCGGTTGCAGAAACAAAAAGTAGAACAGGTGGCATTTTTCCTGCACAGAACTGTACTGGAACGCGGTAAAATGCCTGAAAAATGCACCAGAACGCACATGTCCCTATTTACATTGAAGAAGAAGAGAAGGGAAAAAATCAACTGGAATGCATAAAAAAAATGCACTGGAACGCCTCAAAAGTTTTAATGAACGATCACATAGTTACAGCAAGGCAACGTTTTTGAGTCTCACAGGACCCCTTCATCAGGCATGTGTCACATGCCCGATGAAGGGGTCCTGCGAGACCCCGAAATGTTGCCTTGCTGTAACTATGTGATCGTTCATTAAAACCTTTGGACCCATATTCGGGATCCTCGGTGTGCTGGTGACATTCTCCCTTGATGATTCTGTTCGGCTCCAGACGACGGTCGCTACAGCACCTTCTTATACACAGTCATTTTTAACGCAGGAACGTGTGCATTTGGATTGTACACTTGCAAAAGCGCATCAAAAACTCACCGGAACGCTTCTTTAAGCAGGTAATGATCAGTGTTGATACAATATGGAAACCCACTCTGAAGACCGCAATGCAACTGTGTAGACAGGAGGTGTCTTCCTGTAAGAACCTGCAGAAGGTCTGAGGTTCTGGAATTAATTAGTGGATGAAAAAAGTACAGTATTTAAATGAAAAAACTAGATATCCTTCAGTTATGGTTTACATGGAGGCATTACCTCCAGATCATTATAGTTTTTATTAAAGTGTTACTAAAACCACAACAGTAAAATCAGTCTGTAGATGCAGTAAAGCATGCTTGTTATACTCACTGTGGAACCTAAAGGGTTAATCCTCTGCATTGTGTAAAAAGGTCATTTTGATCCTGACCTCTCTGATCCTCCTCTTGTTCAAATGTCCATGTTGATAAGACAGACTGAACCCGTAGCTCTTCTGCACATGCTCAGTTTAGTGTGTATTGCTAGAGAGGTTTATTTGGGGGGGGGGTTTACTCTGGTTAGAGTGCATGTGACCAGCACAGGGCCAATCAGCACTGTATAGACAGAGGTCAGGGGTTATTCATCCTCCTAGAGCAGAAAGGAAACTCCTCCTACAAGCTTTAACAAGTGCTCTGTTGAAGTCACAAGACTGCTCTAACTGCTGATGAGAAAAAGGTATTTAGCAGTTTATATTTACTAAAATAATTGCATTTCCATGTTGTGTGTACTGTGGGAGACCAGATATAGTGAATGCAGGGTCCGGGGACACCAGATATAGTGAATGCAGGGTCCGGGGACACCAGATATAGTGAATGCAGGGTCAGGGGAGACCGGATATAGTGAATGCAGGGTCCGGGGAGACTGGATATAGTGAATGCGGGGTCCGGGGAGACTGGATATAGTGAATGCGGGGTCCTGGGAGACCAGATATAGTGAATGCGGGGTCCTGGGAGACCAGATATAGTGAATGCAGGGTCCGGGGAGACCGGATATAGTGAATGCAGGGTCAGGGGAGACCGGATATAGTGAATGCTGGGTCAGGGGAGACCGGATATAGTGAATGCAGGGTCCAGGGAGACCGGATATAGTGAATGCAGGGTCCGGGGAGACCGGATATATAGTGAATGCAGGGTCAGGGGGAGACCAGATATAGTGAATGCAGGGTCCGGGGAGACCAGATATAGTGAATGCAGGGTCAGGGGAGACCAGATATAGTGAATGCAGGGTCCAGGGAGACGGGATATAGTGAATGCAGGGTCCGGGGAGACCGGATATAGTGAATGCAGGGTCAGGGGAGACCAGATATTGTGAATGCAGGGTCCGGGGAGACCAGATATAGTGAATGCAGGGTCTGGGGAAACCAGGATATAGTGAATGCAGGGTCAGGGGAGACCGGATATAGTGAATGCAGGGTCAGGGGAGACCGGATATAGTGAATGCAGGATCCGGGGAGACCGGATATAGTGAATGCAGGGTCCGGGGAGACCAGATATAGTGAATGCAGGGTCCGGGGAGAGCGGATATAGTGAATGCAGGGTCCAGGGAGACCAGATATAGTGAATGCAGGGTCCGGGGAGAGCGGATATAGTGAATGCAGGATCCGGGGAGACCGGATATAGTGAATGCAGGGTCCGGGGAGACCAGATATAGTGAATGCAGGATCCGGGGAGACCGGATATAGTGAATGCAGGGTCCAGGGAGACCAGATATAGTGAATGCAGGGTCCGGGGAGAGCGGATATAGTGAATGCAGGGTCCAGGGAGACCAGATATAGTGAATGCGGGGTCCGGGGAGATTGGATATAGTGAATGCAGGGTCCAGGAAGACCGTATATAGTGAATGCAGGGTCCGGGGAGACCGGATATAGTGAATGCAGGGTCCGGGGAGACCGTATATAGTGAATGCAGGGTCCAGGGAGACCGGATATAGTGAATGCAGGGGTCCAGGGAGACCAGATATAGTGAATGCAGGGTCCGGGGAGAGCGGATATAGTGAATGCAGGGTCCAGGGAGACCAGATATAGTGAATGCGGGGTCCGGGGAGATTGGATATAGTGAATGCAGGGTCCAGGAAGACCGTATATAGTGAATGCAGGGTCCGGGGAGACCGGATATAGTGAATGCAGGGTCCGGGGAGACCGTATATAGTGAATGCAGGGTCCAGGGAGACCGGATATAGTGAATGCAGGGTCCGGGGAGACCAGATATAGTGAATGCAGGGTCAGGGGAGACCGGATATAGTGAATGCAGGGTCCGGGGAGACCGGATACAGTGAATGCAGGGTCCGGGGAGCCCGGATACAGTGAATGCAGGGTCGGGGAGGACCGGATATAGTGAATGCAGGGTCCGGGGAGACCGGATATAGTGAATGCAGGGTCCGGGGTTTTAGTAACACTTTAATTCTAATCACATTACTTATACAGTACAGGTGACCACTAGAGGCAGCATTTATGATTTATACATACAGTAAAATATAATAATGAAAACATGGGGCAGCAAATAAAAGCATTTTGATGAATGGGCTGCCTTAAAGCTTCACATGTTAATGCACTGCTCAGATGTATATGAGCCTTATATTTAGATTTTGTCCCTTGTGTCAAAGCAAAATATTACATTTGAACACATCTCAGCAGGCTTGAGCATTAAAAAAAAAATTGTGGAACAATGAAGGTGACTTTGTAATTTTCTTCAAAGCTTTGTTTAGAATACATGCCTGAAAGCAGCGGGTTACCATGAAGCATAGTGAGCGCTGGTAATTTTATGACGCTTCCCAGCTGCTCCTATGGGGATATGATTGTGCACAGTCATATGTATGGCAAGCTTTGTCCTTGCAGCTGTTTAGCAACACATCACAAACAACATAAAGCACTGGAAATGTCTTCCCCCAGCTTTCTTTTTTATTAATTTAGGTGATGCTGTGCTTTGCCAAATCAGGGAAGAGTAAGAGGTCCTCTTGACAGCCCTTCACTGCAAATACTTTTCTCACCCATGACCAGGGGCGGACTGACAACTCATGGGGCCCCTGGGCAATTGGGGATCGTGGGGCCCCTGTGTCCTTGCCCACACTCAAAACTCACCCAAAAAAGCCTATAAAAAGGTACCAGGGGCATTTTATGGGGCCCCTACTGACCCCGGGCCCTCGGGCAGTGCCCTAGTGCTCGAATGGTCAGTCCACCCCTGCCCACGACCCACCTCAGCCCCATTCAGCCTCCGGAAATGCACTGCACATTTTGGGTTGAAGTTTAAACAGGGATCTCTCAGTAGTTTTCATCAATATCCCGTATCCACATTAAACAAAAGATCATGGCTCTAATGTCAGTTCTCTCGAACAGAAACAGAAGTTGGAGTTCATAGCCAAGAAATTGGAGCATCAGAAACCAAGCTGGTTACCTGGAAACTCAAAAAATCTCAAAATCCAAAATGTTCCTAGGTCTGGGTTTTTGCCTATGCGTTTTCCTAGCCAGTAAAATCTTTTCCTTTGACTACCACAGAGGCCAACATGGATGTTATGGGGCTAGAGCTTGGTGGAAGGCCAAATTGGGACCCCAGGGATGAAAGGCAGTTGGCAGAAGGAAGATCTATTGCCTGTTTCACCTATAACCAGTTAAGTTGGGCCACCCAGTCCTATCTAGGCCTCCATCAGCAGCTTAGTCCCCTATAACCCTCTTGTGCTTCTTCCAGGTTCCCAATCATACTCTTCTGCTATCAGATGGCTACTGGAGATGTACCTGCACAGGAGTTACATTGTCCGTGAAACCTGGCTTTACTGTTGTCACACCTACCTCTAACATTGGTGGTCAGGCACTGTAGCTGGCAGCTGTGTTCTTTGCCTATAGCAGCCCCCTTTCCCATAAGGAAAGCAGGCCTACCGGTACTTTGTTGCCCCCAAGGGCATGGACAAACTAAGCACACCAAACAGGTATTTGTGGTTGACAAACAGGCAGAGTGGTCCAGCGACAGTCCGGGTTCAAAGCAGGCAAAGTTCAAAAAGTTGTCAGGGTCAAATCTGTAGTTCAAAGACAGGCTGAGTTATGAGCGTAGTCAAAATCTGATCCAAAGTCATCAACTAGGCAATCCAGAGTAGCTGGGGAGGCAAGTCTTGAATAAATATGAAGGTCAAGGCACAGGAACAAAGAAGGGAAACAGGTAGCATGAAGCACGTGTTGCAGACACTATCACAAGCACGACACTGAGGGCTTGGCAGGCTTAAAAAAAGTTTGAAGAAGCTGTGTTTACATCAATCCTTCTGCAGGTGGACAGACGAACAGGGAAAGTGCAGATCAGCCACAACCAGGATGCTGGAATGAGACCAGAAGCTACCGTGGGTCAAAAAGCGTTACATGCTCTTGAAAATTATACATTGCTCTGCGTATGCGAAAGCCAAAAATCCCTACCACCTAACACGTTTTTATTTTCAGAATTTAGTTCCACTTTAAGCAGATGACCATGGTACAAGTTTTATTTAATAGAAACGATTAATAGCTGGCAAATCCCAACCCCACGTTTCTTATTCTTATCAGTTGGCACAAGGGGTGTCTGCAGAATGTTGTTTTCATTTTCTGATCATTGGTGTAGATTATTTAATATCTATGGGTACCTTCATGCTACACAAGATATTTGTCACCCAAGTAACCTGGATGAATGATAGGTGACTTGGTTGGTGCTTGGTTGTTATATAAGTAGCAATGACAGTTATTCTTGAGATTATTTAATATCTACGGGTACCTTCATGCTACCCCGGATATTTGTCACCCAAGTAACCTGGATGAATGATAGGTGGCTTGGTTGGTGCTTGGTTGTTATATAAGCAGCAATGACAGTTATTCTTGCTCTTTCTTTTTGTGCATTAGGCTCTGTGTTTAGTTGGAGCCTGTGCTGTATAATTTTTTCACCAACTTCTGTTCCGTAATGTATTTTCTGTCTTTTCCTATGTTTATCTTCTCCATGCCAATCAAACATTGACAAGACAAGCGTAAATGGATTTAAAATTGCTAGAAAATATGATTAATGTTCCGGTTTTCAGTACAGAACATTTTCCAATGTCGTACTTACATGAAGTTTGTTTGACGGAGGGAACTTTGCAATGTGCTGTGTACTGTTATACACCATCTGATAATTACTTTGGCCTTCTTTTATTTTCAAAGAGGAAATACATTTCACCATCAGCAGTATTGTCTCCAGCCTAGCTCTCAGAGATGGTAAACGAAGGAACACAAGCAAGGCACGTGGCTTAGTTGGAGTAGGAGTTGTTAAGGTGACCATTTTCATTCATCTAAAGCAGGGCTTCTCAGTTAGGGTTCCTCAAGAGGTTGCTAAGGTTTGCTTGAGGAATGAGCTATTTCTGCCTCTCAGATAAGTTCCCACTGACATTATTATTTATTTATTATTTATTTATCAAGTTTATATAGCGCCAAAGGGTTTGCTCAGCGCTGTACAATAGAGGGGGGACAATACATGAAACAGTACAGTAACATCAAACAGCACACAAGGGGTAAGAGGGCCCTACTCTTTCGAGCTTACAATCTAGGAGACATTATTGATCTTTTTAGCCATCTGTAAGGGGTTAATTCATCCCAATGACCACAAATATAAGGAGCATTCTTCCCACTGACCATCACATTAATGTACCATTAGTTGGAGATGTAGCAGTCGTGCACACAGAGATGGACACGGTCATCCATTTTGCTCTCTGCCAGGGACAGACCCCTCCATCTTGTATCTCTCTCTCCCAAATCAGATTCCTCCGATATCCCCCCTCCCTCTCTGTTGAGTGACATGTAGTCTGTTTGATGCAGAGATCACAGGCAGCAAACTCATTGGGAGGGCGTCATGGCTATAAACCCCAATTAGCTGGTGCCCATATGTCTGCAAGATTCTTGCTTGGAAAGGGATCATAAAGCCATAAACCAAGTCCCTCGATGAGCCTCAAAGACATTCCAGATAAGCAATAAAGCAGACATCACATTCAAGACCCATTTTCCCCTATGATTACATATCTTGGAATATGAGAGGCTTACATAAAAACCAGGCAGATATTCAACCCAGTCACTTTAATACAAGTCGTCTGATATATTACACCCCCTATCTGACATATACAGGAAAGCAGAAAATGATATCTCCTTAACCGTCACAACAGGTATGTCATATTTCATATGTAGACGTTCAGCAGAAGATTCTGCGTATTAATCTACTTGTGGATAGAATGCCTTCGCATGTTATATGTATCCAGGGTAAGTTATGAACAATGACATCAACTGGGAGGGTTTTTGGTCATAGCTTGGGTCTCCGCCTGCAACACCCGCCCAAATGAGGCAATTGGTTCTCTGCTTCAGGGAGACACCCTGCTGAGTTCCTAGAACAAGCTAAGCTAAGTTGAGTTGAGCTAAGTTGAAGATTCTCCCTTTTAACATCGGAAATAACTTTGGGAGATAAGGCATCCTTTTGGCTCAGGAAACTTGATCTGCTTAAACCAAGGCTGACGGCAAGTACTTTATCCCTCTAAACTTCTTTCTGTTATCTCTTTGCTGTGCTATTGTTCTCTGTATATTTATATATATATATATGGCTACATCTTTTTCTGTAAATATTTTTATTGCACCCTTTTGACCTTTTAGTAATAAATCTTACTTTCTGAAAGTGTTGAACTGTTTCTAAAGCTCTTTAATGCAAACTAAGAACCTCTGCCTCTGAAGAGCGCTACTATGTGTGTGTTTTAAACTTCAGTATATCTCTGCCTGCAATGACAGTGGTATAGAGATGATTACCCAATCATTATAGTGTATTGCTGATATTGCAAAGTTTCCTCTTTCTCTGTACAAAAAGGAGGTGGTGGCAGTGTGAAGGGTTAATTGCGTAATTAACCTGACCTAGTATCAATCGCTCTCAGGCTGCAGATACACAGATTGTGGTCCATTAGCTGGAAAATCTTTGTGCAGAGCGCAGCTAGGCGTGGCATTGTTACGCACGTGACAGCATGGTTTTAGATTGGCTAGTCCTTCGGTCACGAGTTTGGTGAGAAAGGCTGCCACGATCGTCACAGGAGATATAGTCATTTTTAGCAGGGGTTCCCTGAGACTGAATAATTATTGCAAGGGTTCCTACCTGAAGGTAGGGTTTAATATTACAGTTACTGACCACCAATAAAGGGACAGTTTAATATGACTTCCTATGACCATCAATAAAGGTAGGGTTTAATAGTATTGCCACTGACCACCAATGAAGAGAGAGGAAAACTATTAATGCCACTGTCAGGAATGGACTCAGCATTGGTGGTGGGACTCGCCTGCCGTGTGGGCTGCAGTACCAGAGCTGACCAGCGGGTGCTCTCTGCAATGGACTCAGCACTGGTGGTGGGACTTACCTGCCGTGTGGGCTG